TGACAATATTATTTACCTCTTGGATAATATTCCTTAACCCAAGTTAGCCAAGCAGGAGGTTCAAACATTGTTAAACTTGAGAGGAGGCATAAGAAATTAAGTTTTGTGTTTTTTAAGTTAAATGTTTCACAGATTTATGTAAATTTTGATGTCATGAATAATTCAGATCATCCCTCCACCCGGTAAAACAGCCAATCAAAGTGTCAAACAAAATAAAATTATTGATATCTATATATACCAATCCAACAAAAGTCTAAAGATGGTTTAAACTAATAGCATACACCATTACCTTAAGCAACCCACTTCAAAAGCTTGTAATTCTAACCAAGAAATAGCTTTCAAAGAGAACAAGACTATACATGAGTTTTTAAAGGTCTGTATTTCAAACATAAGAAACAAATTACCTATATGGACTGCTTTTTTTAAAAAAGGACACTTTTCTATATTTATTATTACTTTTTAATTTTATAATTGGTTTGTAAAATAAGAAAAGATTTTAAAATTATCCTATATAAAAGCCCTAATGAAACCTGTTTTGATAAGTTCAAGAAAAGTAAAAACCCTAACGAAACCTGATTCTATTAGTTCAAGAAAAGTGGAGAGGTTGAAGCTGCTTTTTGCTTGAAAATAACTACAAGTAATGTAACTTATTAACAAGTATAAAGCTACAAAGTTGGAATATGGTGAGGACTATATTCTTGTGTGAAAAAATCACTAATACTAAGGATAAAGAAAATCTTTAGAAGTGACTGTTGTTAAAAGTGTTTATTTAGGTGAAACAAAAAGTTATACAGTTCTTTGTCTTCAAGACAGAGGTTATTATAATCATATTAAATACTTTTATGTGTCTCATTTTGATTCCTACCCTATATGAAAAATACGAAAATTTTGGAAAGCACACAAGAGAATTAATAGAAAGATACCGAGATTGTGAAATTTGAACAATGAAGAGAGGTGGTAAGTTTTAGACTTGTTTTTTCTTTCGAGTGTAGAAGGAGTAGATTTAGTTGTTTAAAATGGCCAGTTTGAACCACCAGACTATGAAAAGTCTGCTTTGTTTATAAAACAAAATGTTCAGAAATGTGAATATGATTTGACAATATTATTTCTTGATTAAACTTAAAACATTGGTATGATTTGCCAGATGATAATCATTAGAACTCAAACAATTCCCTTGACACACAAAATTAGAAAAAAGAACCAGAAAGGAAAACCTAACTTCATAAATGATCACACAAATCATATAATAACTAAATGATAGGTGAAAAGGTATGTAAAAATATAAATATAAAATTAAATTCAAGGACAACAAGGGACTTGTTGGTCCATCCAGGTCATTCTATCCACTAAAATGAACATTAAAAAAAACCTCAAATCCAACCCTTATCATTCAAATATTTATCAAGCATTCCACTAGACACCTTAAATTTATGGTATTCACCACAACTGAAGGCAACACATTCCAAAAGCCAACCACCCTATCACAAAAATAAAATTGTCTTGGCTGAGGAGGAATCTTATCCTGCCAAACCTTATACTTGTGTCACCTGTTCCTACCATTCTCACCATTAAATACAAAAAAAAAGATAATACATTGACACTATCAATTTCCTCAACAATCTTAGCCTTCTCATTCATATTTCCTCTAATTCTTCTTTTCTTCAAGAGAAATAAGATCTTAATACGTTCTAGAATGGCAACCCCTCCATTCCAGCTATCATCTTAGTAGCCCTCCTCTGAACCCTTTTCAACAATTCAATGTTCTTCCTAAGGTAAAGAGCCCAAAATTTAACATAATATTCTAAATGTGGCTTAACCAGTGACCTATACAATGAAATCATAAGTGCTTTA